ATCACAGACCTGGCATTTAGCAGCAGCAACCTGAGACCAGGGCCCTGGGTTCTCTTGTCATCAGGTCCTTGAGTTGAGCTTTCAGGGCCGGAACAAGGGATCGCTGTGATGTAGCGAACCCTCCTTCCCCGGTAATGGCTTGCCCTGTAGCTCCCGTCATACCTGCCCCTCCCGGTTGTAACCGAGATGCTCCGGCCCGCCTCCATCCCCGTAGACCCCTTCCCACCTCCCACGGCCCTCGTTCTTCCCGGCAGGCCATTCGTACCATTCACTCTAGAACGAGAGGCGGATCTGGGCCCCCATCCACTTCTGCTTCTGCACTCAGTGGAGGGTGCTCCAGGCCGCCCTCTCAGTCCTCTCATATATACCGCACAGGCATTCTCCTCATACATACCCCACTGTAACCGTTAAAAACATATAATAGTACAGTAATACAAAAAATATAAAATTAAATTAATTTAAAACGTGGGATCATTCATCTTCATGCATGCAAACAAACATTCCACATACAAAAAATTTGCGCAGGTGTTAATTTCATGCAAGCGGTTCATGCAGTTCAAATAGCTGGAAAACCAGTGATGGTGCAGGGGGAGAGTATCTCCTCTTCCCTTCTCTCCTGTGGACCTGGAGCGGTGCAGCAAAGGGGGCGGCTGAGGCAGATTGAAGGGGGGGCATGCATCGGGTGAAAAGGCGTTAAGTCCCCACCCGCGACTTCACCATCTTCCGTCGCCCCCTTCCACTTTGATGATGTGCCGGACGATCTTGATGGAGCTGCCCCGCATGTTCAGGATCTGGTGCACCCGCTGGTGGATCTGAGGCAGGGGTGGATTTCAACCGGTTCGCGGCGGTCCCCGCGAACCGGTTGGTCGGCGAACCCGGAAGTAAGTAACTTCCGGGAACGGTGAAGGGCGCACCCGCCCACCCGCGCTCCTTACCCGGTTTTGACAAGGACGCCGCCGGCCCCGTTCCAACCGAACCGGTTGGAACGGGGCGAGAAACCCACCCCTGATCTGAGGGATGCCGGCATTGCTGATCTCCGCCATGATGTAGCAGATGAGCTGCAGGACAAAAAGACCGGCATCCAGGCGCTGCAGGTAGAATTCCTCTTCCGTGTCGTCGTCGATGATCTCCCCGCGGCGCACCATGTCATGCTTTTCACCTTCAATCTTCTTATCGGCCACCTGCATGGCGTCCAGGTATTTGAAATAGAGCTCCATCAGCCTGTCCACCTTCTCGCTGTCGTTCTCCGTGAATTTGTTGAGCAGCCGAGTCCTCTGCTGACTCCGCAGGTTCCTCAGGAGGAAGGCCAGGATGGAGCAGATGTGCTCTTCGTGCTCTTTCTCGGAGGCCCCCACCTTCTTGATCTTCTTCGGGGACTTCATGAAGAGAGGGAAGATGGTGCGGANCCTGGTGAGATTCCATCTGCCAAACTGCTGGCAGCCGGTGATCAGCAGAAATAGCCTGCAGTACTGCACTCTAACATCTTCCCTGCAGCTCTGTGATTCCACAAGGAAATGGAATCACAGAATCTCAAAACAAGAAAGCCATAATAAAAACTCTGGTATTGTGGAAACATAGAACTCAGAAGTGATTTCCAAACCGGTGAAGAATCTTGTATGAAACTTTCCATAATGCAGCATCTATTATCTTATTTTTTGGATCATGACACTTTTTACATTCATATTGAGTTGAGCCATTGGAAGGGAATGTCACTGAAGGCCAATTATATTTTAGAGGCTAGTATATCCAGTGAAAAAATAGTGGTGGAGGTAGAAGTCTGATTATTGAAACTTTAAAATCATTCTACCAAATGTGGGGAAAAACCACCAACGTATGATAATTTTCTTTTAAACACTCAGACATATTGAAAGATTTGTTCTTCATTTCAGTACTGATGCTTTGTTTTCCAAGTGACCTTTAAAATAATTCTATTCAGATTGCAATTCAAGAAGATAGAAAAAGACTTGAATGCTCACTGTGCCTTCTCCTTCACATTCTCACTATTAGTATTAAATGAGTTCCCTTTCTTTTCTTTTTTTTACATAGAAACTATGTTCCCTCTACAAGTAGTTTCCAACATTTTTGAGCCAATATTAAATGTTGACAATTACAGTATAGATGCTGTCACAAAATGGCTGAAAGGAAGAAGCGGGTGTGTGTGTGTGTGTATACTTTCTCAAAATGCTAAGGTGGACACAATCAGTCTTGAAGATCATAACTGTACACAATAAAGCAGGGGAAGGTGCAGAATAAATTTTAAAAAGTTAAAATGGTGGCCATGACAGATCACACTTTGTGAAACCCTCATAATTTAGACAATGGGTGAAGAAAACATTTGATAGTCTTGCCCATAGTGGTACTTTTGCACCCATTGTGCAATTATTAAATACAATTTTCAAAATTTTTCAAAATTCACAATTAAAAAGATTTTTGGCAGAACCATGAGGTTGGTTGCCTCAATTCTATCTATATAAAGCACTGAGGATTAATAATCTATATACATAGATATATATAGATATATTACGCACATTGATATTTTACGCACACTGAAGGCCACCAGAACAGTTAAGAAACGTAGCTGGCACAGGATGTCCCTCCAATAAAATGATTTACCTGCTTAACATATCCTGCAATAACTAATTTTAGTATATAATTAGTGTGGAAAAACCCAGATAATTAAAATGACTTATTCACTGAAAAAAATGAGGGGGAAAATAATAAATTTTAATCAAGCAACCAACCCAGTGAGAGAAACTGAAAAGGAAAACAAATGCATAAAGAAAGCAGGTTGAATAAAAGGAAGCACACCACTGATTCATTAAACTAAGGCAAAGCCTCCGCAAAGACTCTTTATGGAAATGCTAAGGCACAAAGTTTGATTTATACTCAGTAGCTAAATTTCAATTCCCCTTGGCTTTTTACCCCCTCAGAATTTTGAGATCAGGCTAAATGAAACACAGCAGAATCTATTCATTCTTACTTCAATGCCTAGGATTTTTCCCCTTAAGCAGATAAAAGCAGTGCCAGTTAAAAACAATGGTGTTATTGTCAGGAAAATAATTTGACCATAATTACTTCCTACATCACAAATTATGCACAGAAACTGTTNTATACTTCAGAATATGTATAGATCCCTACACTATGGAAAGTTTATTTCTAAACTGTCAATCTTACTGATAACCATTTAACAGCTACATGGTAGACTAACTACTTAAATAACAACTGTTACCAGCACCAGATGCATTTCTCATTCATTTGTACGAGGCAAAAATAAGATTGAGTTTGCATGCCAGGCTCTCAGTGAGGTCAAGCTGCAAATAAACAAGGGAATAGTGAGGCCAGCTATAATGTTGTATTCTTTAATAGATAATTGTTTTCACTGTTCTCCTACTGCTTTCATGCTTCTGATGCCATGTAATACATAAGATAGACAATATTAATACAAGATATTCGCACTTCCTCAGAGACTCAGAAGCCATTCTTGGAGTATACTCCTGGTTGCTATAAAACAGCTTGAAGCTACAATTCTATTATTTTCAAGTAAATTATTGCTTTTTGTCTTAGCAGAATACAGTATTAAAAAAGGAGAGAAAAAATAGCAATACTGATCAATACACTGAACACAAAAAATAAATGGCAAAGGAATGGGAAAGACCAGGAATAGTGGTAGATGCAGGACATTGAAGATACTATAACAAGATTTTATGGCCTGGTTAATAAAAATAGAAGCTAAAATTATGGATTGATTTAGACCCAAATAAATCACAATTATTTGATTTTTGTAACCTGCTAAGTCATAAGTTCTGGCTTACAAATGATCATAGCTAGAGTATTTAGTGCAATGTTCATGTATGCAACTTCTGAACTTCCAAACAGTGATATACATTAATAAAATCAAAATTTGCTAAAGTTAATAAAATAGTTACTACTTAATAAAGTCAATAGTTAACAAAAATAAAATACAAGGACAAAAAGTTATTCTACTGTGTTATATTGACAAAAAGTTATTCTACTGTGAGATAAATAAGCATCATTTTCCTATAAATTTGTTGTCCAAAAACTTTGGCCAAGTAAAATAATTTCAGTAATATATATAACTCTCCAAATTTTATTTTTGCATCCATACATTCCTAAATTATGTTCTGAACCTGATAGTTCCCCATTGGTATGTTAATATATGCTCCATATATTTCTTGTTATTAACATAACAAAATCATACTTATGCTAATGGTTTTAAAAAGAAATCCAACGAAAGTCATGTTCTTATTTTGTTTTAGGATTATTACGGCACCGCATTTTCAGTTTAGGTAGGACATTTCCACCCTGCCACTTTTCTTCTTTTTCAAGCCCTTTGAAACAGATTGAAAACAATCATGATATTCTTCCCTTCTGCCACTTGAAATGCTGAGAATAGCAGAAAAATCTGGGTGGAGGTTGTGTCAACCTTGAACCTGGTGAGATTCGATCTGCCAAGCTGCTGGCAGCCGGTGATCAGCAACTCGAGTCTCATTGGCTCAAGGTTGATTCAACCTTCCATCCCTCCGA